TATTTCTCGTTATGCTGCCTCCTCTAGCTATAATATCAATACCTTTCATTGCCTAACGCACTTCCTTTCAACCCTTATGGCTTGGTCATCACCCCCTGCAATGGCACGGAAGGTGGGGAGGGTCTTCCCTGGATCCTCTTTCCTCATCTCATTATCACTGCATGTCCCTCACTCTTTTGTGGAGATATGTCTGTCTTTCTCATAGTAGATTCCAACCATCTGGAAGGAAGGTGGCCATCTCATTCATATTGGGATAGCATGAACCCTGTCCTAGTGTGGACACACAGGAGGTAGTCAGTAAAAAAGGTTTGTTTGGTTTTTTCCCAGTATGAATGAAAGCTGAGTAACAGGCCACTCAAATTCTTACACTACCTTGCAGTGGCTTCTTGAATACTAATCAAGACCTCTTAGAATTTATTAACAAAGGGCTTTACACCTTAAAGAGTCATTTCCAACTACATTATCATTTTTTATTTACATCATCCACAGAACAGAGGTTTATTCCCATTTTACAGGGGAAAAAATGAAACTCAGAGAGGTGAGGAGAGTCATTTCCAACTAAATTATTGTTTTTTTACGTACATCATTCACAGAACAGAGGTTGTTCCCATTTTACAGTGGAGAAAAATGAAACTCAGAGTGGTTAGGAGACTTATTCAGGTTATATAATTATAAAAAAAGTTATTAAATTCTACTTTTTCTGCCTCCTATCTCCAGCTTTCATTTTACAACATTAGAACTACTTTTAATGTAGTTCAAAGTTTCAGTGTTTGGAAATAAGAGGGTCTGTCACCTTCACAGGAACAAAAATTACTTCTTTACCTTCATTAACCTTTAAGTGAAATTTATCATCTCCTTCCATTATGGAAGAAGGTAAAAAAACCACACCAGAACAGGAAGTTCCCACAACTACATGGCAGATGGCTATCGCCAAGATTTTCTCTCACAGCACAGTTGCAGATTATTTGAAATATTGTTTATGTTCTCCATTATTTCAAGCTATAGCTGCTACTAGACTCACTGATGGGTCTTGTTATTTACTGCATTAATAAAGGAGTATGTCTTCTACTCTCACAAAGTTACTTCTACGAACACTGTCACAAGTGGACTTCAGTATAGTTGACTTTCTTAGTTACCTCATGTGATTTGTAGTATGCACTTAAAACATTATTCTGAGAAGGGGTCTGTGGGTGTTACAAGACTGTTAAAGCCTCCAAAGCATAAAACAGATGAAAAAACTCTGAGACTATCTTCATACGTCGTCCCTCACTAGGGTACCTCAGGCATGCAAAGGTCTGTCACACACACTCCTGCTCTCTGGTGGGAAACGATCACACCACTGACAGATTCTTGGGCTTGTATCCTGGCCCTGCTGCTTACTAACACCGAATGTGAATTGGGTAAATCATTAAGTTTGGTGCCTTTGTTCCTTCACTGTACCTATTTTATAGGATTGTTGTAAGATTAACCAAGTTAATATATTTAAAGTGTTCAGTTCTCTACCTGGCAATTCATGCAATATGTGTTGATTTTTCTGATTACTGTTTATAATGTTCTTTCCTTCTACAGCAGAACATCGCTTCAGAATCCTTCTCAATATAGCACTGGAGCCGGCACTGACAAATGATTGCAGGTGACTCGAGAGGTAGAAATTATTTGTCAGTCTTGGGGTTATTCAGTTTATGGGCCTGGGGGATATGCTTCCCAATGCTTTTGAGGTACACTCCTCGGTGGAAACATACACTTTAAAAAATTCCAAGTACCATCTACACTTATCTACATATTCTCTGTATCTTTGGGATGAACTCTTATAGCTTGTCTGCAGTCAGACCAGAAGCTAGGGAGTTTAGGAGCTATGGCCACAGATACTGGTACAAGGGTATTTTCTGAGAGTAGACAAGAGCCTCTTTGGGGGAATAGGCAAGACCAAAGTAAACGATGTTTATGGATGAACATAATTATCACATACAGAAAATTTATGGAGAGAATTTACTGTGGGCAGAGGAGAGTAGCTGGCAGTTTGATTATTATTTCACAGTTTAATCTGGGTTATGACTTTTATTGGTAGGATAAACTTGAGAAAGTCCTTTTAGCTTTCTAAAGCTCAGTTTTTTGTTCTATAGAATAAAGTAATGTTACCCCGAATATCACAAGTCTACCAAGATGTGTCTTGGAGCTGATAAGCATCAATGTAAGAACACTACATGGCATATTTAGTTGTTTTTTTTAACCTCACTTTTTAAGTATAGGATATCAATCCAATACCATATAATCCTCTTAAAGTTTCTTATCCAAATGACCAAATAAAAGCCAAATAAAAGCCCTTTACTGTTGAACAAACTCAAAAACGCAACAGACAAATAACTGATGCCCCTAAGTAAAGCACAGTGATCAGATCCAAGGAGTCAGTCCAAGGATATAGATCTTCTTTTATGACTACTCCAATGAAGACCTCATCAAGTAGCAACAGCATTGAGATCATGCACTTCTGGCCAGTGGACACCTTGTTTCATGACTCATGACTTGGGCCAACATGAGCAATTCTCTCGAATTAAATGGACATGGCAGTGGACCATTTGTCACACTCATTGAGCCCCTTTGTCATCTCAAAAGATTAAACTTCCACTGTGTCTTTTCCAAGAGGAAGGGTTTAAGAGGAAAGCTGACTTTGTGATTCCTTTTAGATGTAAGTCTTCTATCCATCTGGCAGAAATTGGTACTGAAGTGTGTAATTCAATTTCTTTTAATTTGCACTCTTTAATGACAGGCATATATAAATGATTTGTCTTTATAATTGACTGTGCTGTTGGTGAGCTCATAGCTAATCCCCAATTCCAAGGCAATACAGGGAACTTATATAAGGGACAGATGGAAGGGAAGGGACCAGGACTCTTGCCATTCTCTTACACACTTACTTCCCTATTCTTTAGCCAGGGGTCAGCAACTTCTTGAAGTAAAGTAACAGATATTAAATATTTCTGGCTTTGCATGCCATATGGTCCCTGTTAGGACTATTCCTCTCTTCCATTGTAGTGTGAAAGTACCACAGACAGTGAGTAAACAAGTGACTGTGGCTGTGTTCCAGTAAAACTTTATTTACTGAAACAGATGGTATGTCAGACTAAAAGTGCAAGATGTAGTTCGGTGAACTTTGCTTTAGGCTAGTGGTTCTCAGAGTGAGATCTCAAGATCAAGAGCAACAACATCACTTGAAGATTTTTTAAAAATGTACATTTCTGAGCCTAGACATACAGAATCAGAAGTCTTGAAGATGAGGTCCAAAAATCTGTGTTTTAAGAAGCCCTCTAGGTAATTCTGATGCATGAGAACCCCTGCTTTAGCCTAAGGGACCATATGTCTGATGCAGATAGAATTCCCTCCTACCCAGTTAACAGCTAGAACTCATTTCAAAAAAATTTCATGTTGAATGCTAATTTTAATGTCTGGAACTGCATCAGTATTTATATATTTGTTCAATATAAATTATCCATGGAGAATTCCTCTGAGAAAATTAGTTTGCCTATACTCCATTGCATAGATCATTTGTTCATTTGCTGACTGATTAAAATAATAATCCTGTAAAGCAGATAATCCCTCAGTGCTCAATTCTACAAAGGTGCATATCCAACTACCACACAAATTGGGATCAAATTATACACTGTTTGGTGTATTCAGACTTTCTTCCAACTGGTTTGAAGTGGTTGATATCACTTTCCCAAAATGCAAAATTAAAAATGGCAGAAACAGACAATGTACTATTCATAATCTGCTAAGCAGGTATGTTAGTACACCAGCTAGTTTTGCAGTAAAGAAAATGCTCAAAATGCAGTATATATATAAATATTTTTTATATTTATATTTATATATATATATCATGTTTTATATGATGCCATATATATATATATCATGTTTTATATATATATATATATGGCATGCCTTAAAGATTAAATATCAGCAAGTCCATGTCTTGTCTAATTACCATTGGATTATGACAAAAACTAAATGAAGAGAGTGACTATAATTATCAAGACAACTTTTCACACACATTTTAAATTACTGAAAAGTTATTGGTAAAATTAGATAAATTTATCTTCCCATAACAACCTTGTGAATATTTTACAGATTATAAAATGTGATGTTCAAAAGTAGTAGAGTAGTGCTTGAGATTATAGGAGTTGCAAATGGTAAAGATGGGATCTCAACAGAGATTCATCTTAATTTAAAGAAGAGCTAGCGACAGCAGCAGCATCTGGGTGGCTCAGTTAGTTAAGTGTCTGACTCCTGATTTTGGCTCAGGTCATGATTCCAAGGTTGTGGGAGCAAGTCCTGTGTCAGGCTCTGCACTGAGCATGGAGCCTGCTTAAGATTCTCTCTCAAAAAGATAAAAATATAAAGAAGGAGAAGAAAAAGTAGCAGCAGCAATTAACATGACACGTACATAGTAGGATGTTCATATGCCTGCAAATACTCTTAGGGACATACAGTTCAATGGTCAGCTCTTCACTGAAGAGTTGTACCTTCCCACAGTGTAATATCTTACTGGAAAGTACAGACAAGGACTCTATTTCCCATACTCCCTCCACTTAGGAATGGTCATGTGACCACTCCTGGTGGAAATAATGCACATCACACAAGGCTGAGAGAGCAAAGAGATAAAGCAGACCTGAGAACTGCTTCTAAGAAGTAACACTGGAAATGATTACTGGTAGGTAGAGGTTATGGGGGAAAAATAGATCCGGAGCCTCTGAGTGGTTGAAGGAAGTATGTTGCCATCAAACAAAGCTCAGATTTAAATTAAAAAAAAAAAAGAATTTAGACATCTGGGCTTAAAACAACTCTTGAGTTCCAAATTACTAAGAATAAGAAATTACTGTGAAAGTTGAAAGCCCCAGGGGGCCACACTGCCTGGCACTCCACTCAGATGAGGTCACAGAGGATGAGAGACCAGGACAACCCGCCATACGACAGGGGAGGGCCATGGAGGACATGGGCCAGGGGGTTCCTCCCACACCACCAGGGCAGGGGTCCCTACAATGCCTGGTGGGCAGGATTTCAGATTGTTAAGAAATGGTGACTCTGTTTCATTCCCTTTCGTTCCTGCTCCGAATGGGCACTTTTCATTGTTTCTGTCCCTGTTTCCACACATATATTTGGTATGTGGGACGGGGTGAGTGTCAAATCACGCATGTTATCGTTTCTAGGAAGCCAGACGATGAGGAGGCTCATGTAGACTGCAAGGAACTACTCACAGCCTGGAGACTCTGGACTTCGGGCCACCTCTTCTGGTGAGGGGAAGGGCATTGTTCTATGTGCGGGGACATATTTGGTGGCTGGAGATAAGTATTGTGGAAGAGATACCCGGCTGCCTTCCAGAGTTCTGTGTTCTTCTTTCACAGAGGAAAGAAGTGACCAGAAAGAGTCTGACCAGGAAGAAACTATTTTCCAGTTTCCTTACAACAAAGTGGGACCACTCACCAATATCATATGAATTGAAGTGGGGTTGACCATTTCTGAGCCTTAGAAGTAGGTGGATCTTCACCACTGTCTGCTGCTTGATGTAGATGCTCCCAGTAGCCATAAATGACAGAGCTAGAATAAGGAGGATTCTAGGTTTCCTGAATCACCACACGGAGGTGAGCCACCTGCCATGCAGGTGTCCATGAATCAGTTTTTGTGTGAGTGGAAGTGAATTTCTCCCATAGTAAGCCACGGAATCAAGCAGCCACAGTTATATAGGAGTCTAACATCAAATTCCGCCCTTCCATTCTTACCAGATGCCTGGTGGAGAGTAGCAGTCTTTAGGCAAGTTTGCCTGGGGGATAATCTATTCTCTTCCCTCGGTACTAAAATCTATTTCTGGTTTCAGTCAGACTAGCTGAGTACTGCTGCCTGAACCGGGTCACTGTGCATTACACAACCACTAGAACTACTTTTACTGAATTGTGGGAGGCCATCAGCCCACACTAAGGAATGCTGGCAAAGCACTCCATGAATTTTGTGATATATAGTACAGGCTCCCCCAACCTCTCCTTCTTCCTCCATTCACTCACTAAATACGTATTAGCAGCCACTCTGGGGTAAGCACTCTATTAGGGGGTTGGGGTATGCTATAGATACTATTATTTTGTATGGTATCCTGTTTATTTGAACTTGGAGAGGCTTCTCTCTGGTACAGCTAGGAATAGCTCTTTCCCTCTGAAGCGATTGCCTGGATTAAACTGGGAACCTCCTAAATCTTGTAACCAATCTTGTTTCCCTCTTTGCATTGCTTGTAAGGCTTAGAAGGCTTAAGGCCAATTTGTAGCCCACTGCTGGCATATTTATAGGCCCCCATGACCTTCTTTCGATGTGTTCACTTCCCTCTTGGCCTCCTCACAAGTCTCCTACGCTTACTTTGCCTGGATCCTGACTTCTTTCATGCGTACATTACATTTTATCTTCTCTGCTGTGTGGGCTGCATTCCGGCAAGTTACCTTTAATCTTTTTCTGAATATTTATAAATGAAAAATGAAAAGAACAGAAACCATTTTCAGCACCATTAAGAGGTTCCTAATAAAGTGGGCTGAATCTGGACGACAGAAGCGGAGTCGGCTCTATCTGTGAATGAGAGCCAAGGTGTCGCAAAGATGAGCATCTGTCTCCCTGAGCACCGGGGATTATTAATACCCAGTGACTCGCTGTTCATTTTTGAAGCTCTATGCTGATTTAATCTCAGCCTTTCACAGAGACATCTGTTGGTTCCACATTTGTATTAAACTGATATCAGAGCCCAAGTTTTGGAATGGACTCTGAGCAACCCTTTAATTTGTTCTATTTTGTACAACATACACCTGCTTTCCTCACATTGGAGACCACGTTATTAGATGATCAATTAATGAACACTTGCTTAACTGTGAACATTAGCCTAGAACTCAAGAAACCAATTTGGCCCCAACTTGCCTTTCTAAATGTTTTTTTCCTATTACTCCCTGAGGCACCAGCCAAACTAATGGGTGCCCTTGGAACATGCCTTCTGATTTCCATCTCTCTGTCCTCATTTCTCCTATTAAATGTATCTGGCTTAATAAAAATAGTTTATATTCATCAAGCACTTATCTGCCAAGTATTTGTAAGTCACTTTATTCGTTAACTCATTTAGTCCTTGCATTGATCCTATCAGGTAGGTAGTATTATTTCTCCATTTTACAGATAGAGAAACTGAAGGCAGAGGAGTATAAAATAAATTCCTTTCATGTTGATGTTACATTTTATCTCTGTCTTCCTATGTTGGATATAGCTACATAAGCCATCTTTAATGCTTTATGAAATGTTAGCAAATGAAACATTAAAAGAGCAAAAATAATTCGATTTCCAGAAACAGCTGGAATTCCAGCTCCCACCACCTTATTCTCCAGCCCATTCTCTCAGCCACTACACATTTGGTTCTTGAAACTGGTTACAATTTGGGGTCCTTCCTGGAGCTTTTAAGAAATACAAATGTCCAGGCACCACCCTAGCTCAATCAAGTCCAAATTCCTCGTGGTGTGGTCATGATATTGGTAGTTTAAGAATCTCTCCAGGTGATTCTAATGTGTAGCTAACTGGCAGTGCATATTATTCTTTAATCTTCCTAGCATGGGGTGTCTCTTCCTTCCATGGTGAAGACGTCAGTGAATCAACTCTTCTCTTGCCATGGTGATATTGATACATTACCAGGAGTTTTCCTGAAGAGCCTTGGAATCCCATCCTAGACCTTCACAGGGCAGGGCTTTTGAGTCATAGGTCTAATTAAATGCCATTCTCAGTGTGACTGTCAGTTCTGATGGAAAACTATCCAGAGCCTTCCCCAGCTTGGGTTAACACATTCACCTCTGCTCTCAGAGCACCCTGGGCTAATCCCCCTCTCGGCACAAATCACCCATTTGAAATCACCCATTTACTGCTGTCTCCTCTGGATCTCTTCATCATTAAAGCAGGGTCAATGGCCTACAGTTACTCTATCTCTGATGCTTAAGATCAGAGAGGATGAGTCAGTATTTGTGGAGTGAATCTTTTGATGTGGGCATTTTCTTGGGCCATTTTATGCATCATGTTTGATTTATACAGGAGGTGGTATTAAACACTTTTCTCTCGAAATCTATAGATCCCAAAAGATGAAATCATCAAAGATGACAGGCTTCAGACAAATGGTGTTAACTCTAAAAGATATACCAAAATTCTGTCAGTCAGCCAGCCAGTCAGTAGGCTACAAAACCATTTGTAGAGGTTGTCTGCCTGAACAGTCATTGAATATACTGAATAGTGTGTGCTACCTTTGATCAAGAGTTCTGTGTAAACTTCATGCTCACATATGTTTTGTCTCCACTGGAACATAGGATGAGTCAGTGATGGGATATATTTCTGTTTGAGGTCTTTTTTGTTTGCATTAAATTGGAATAAAAAGTTCTCATATAAACACAAAGAAAGGGGTAAGTAATGCCAGGTTCTTTAATGTACTTTAATCATTTTAAGTGGAGAATCTGATGAGTTTCTATGGATGAATCTGTTTATATAACATTTTTTGTAAGTAGTAGAGAATATTTACACTGTCTTCCAATGAGTGTTACTTATAACAAGTGCCTAGTGAGAAGAGGCTGCATTCAGAGAGAAGTACAGAGTCAAGAGAAAGACTAACCTTCCAGAGAATACAGTCCTTTAATTACTGCAAGAGCTAAATTTTAGTGCAAAGCATCTAAAGCATCCCAGGTCACCACAGCACACACCACCAGCAAGGTAACAGTAACACAATGTAAAAACCCAAGTTTATTTATTTTAGGTCGAGTAAATATTTAAAAGAGTTCATTGTCAATTCAGTTTTGTTGATAGTGATCATCCCTGCTATGAAGTTAAAAACCACCTGACTTTTGATGGCTCCCACCAATTACAAGGATTTATCCTTCCTCTGCTTTCACCATGGAGAAAACTTAAAGGAGTGCAATATTTCAGTTGAATTTGTAGAATACTGAGGCCAAAAGTATCCTCTGTTCTTTATAAACTATGCATACTCAAGTGTAAGTCTGAAAGCTGCTGCGTTGACTTTAATTTCCCCATGTTGAGAGTAGAGAGCCCTAAGATGGTTCACCAGAAATGGGGGAGTCTTTACCCTTTACCAGTCTTCTTGACTTAGAACCAATATTTATTGAGAACTAATTCTATGTTAAGTGCTCTACATGCATTTCCTCAATCCATCCTCACGATCACACCATGAAGTTGTCTTCTCGTAATTCCTGTTTTCAGGAATGTAGAAACTGAGGCTTAGAATCACAGTAGAGCTGGGATTGGAACACAAATCTGTCTGATCCCACTAGCCTAGGTGCAAAAAGCATGAACTTTTTGAGTATCTACACTGGGCATTGTGCAGGGCATTGAAATATAGCCTGAACAAGACATTCACAGAGCATCTGTTGTATAGCAGTGAAGGTAATATTGAAATGTAGTTTAAAGTGGGAATTGTGTTACAAAAGGAGAAGAACAAAACATGCTGGTAGCATCTATCAGGAAGAATTACATTAGTTACTGAAGGCCATGTATGAGAGAGGTTTCAGGCAGTAAGGAGACATTTCAGCAATCAGCACAAAGGATGGTGATGGCCTGAGCTTAGTTGTGAGAGGTGGGGATGGAAAAAAGGGAAAAGACTAGAGAGATGTTTAAGCAGTAGCATCAAGGATGTCTGGTAGAATGGATGTGGGTCATGAGGAAGTGAGACAAAGCAAACACGTTTCCCAGGAGACTGGCTTGAATAAGAAATAGATGAATGTCTTATTTCTCACAGGCCACTATCATAAATTTTCATAGTCTGGGCAACTTTTTTTTTTTTTTTTTAATGTTTTTATTTATTTCTAAGAGAGAGAGAGAGAGACAGCGTGAGGAGGGGAGGGTCAGAGAGAGAGGGAGTCACAGAATCTGAAACAGGCTCCAGGCTCTGAGCTGGCAGTCAGCACAGAGCCCGACGCGGGGCTCGATCCCACGAACCGCGAGATCATGACCTGAGCGAAAGTCGGACGCTTAACCGACTAAGCCACCCAGGCACCCCTAGTCTGCGCAACTTTTAACCAGAGACTTATTTCTCACAACTGTGGTGGGTGTGAGTGAAAGATCAGGGTGCTAGCATGGTCAGCTTCTGGTGAGAGCCCTCTTCTGGACTGCAGATGGTCAACTTGTTGTATGTTTACACAGCAGGAATGAGGAATCTCTCTGGGGCCTCTTTTATAAAGGCAGTAATCTAATTGTGAAAGCTCCACGCTCAAGACCTAATCCCCTTCCAAAGGCCCTACCTCTTAAGACCTTCACCTTGGGGCTTATCATTTCAACATATGAATTTGGGCAGGAGGGGCATATACATTTAGTCCACTCCAGTGCAGGTGTTGTTCACTGATAGGAGAATTATGTGTGCCTTACCAGACTGGTAGAAATGTGTGCTCCATTTTGAGCATATTGAATTCGGGTACCTTTGAGAAACCCAAATGGTGATGTCTAATAATTGCTTGAAGAGACGGCTGGGAGTTTGGAAAGAAGGATTAGATTAGGTAGCAACTGTCTAAGTCTTTGAAGCTATCAGTGGATGAATGAAGTCACTCACGGAGAGTGTCTATAGTGAGAAGAGAAAAGGCAGCTCTCCTATGAATGTTGAGAAAAGACCAAAGCCAAGGCTAAGTCATACTGCATCTAATGAACCTCATCTTGACAAAATGGACACTCTGATTTTGAAACTGGTCATACACAGTGAGATCTTTTATCTCAGAGATGCTTATGTGTAGCAACAGCCACTTGGAAAATGATGTTTTCTCCTATTTGGGCTAGGATTAGAAGAGGAGTCCCTCAAGACTCTCCATTTCAAATGGAAAAACAACCATCACATTCAACTTGCTTTCTCTCTTCATACTTCTCTGGGGACAGGCTCCTAACTATGTATCTGACCTGCTTTTCTTTCTGTACACACATCTGTAGGAGCTTAAAAGTCCTGTTTTATGGTTGGAGGTAATCTGCTGAGGAGGAGATATATAACTATTGGTATCATGGTTTCTTATCTCAGAATCTAGATGCACACTCATTAACAAAAATGTAAATTTAATATCGTTTTCTTCAACTAATCATGAGTTTAATAAAGTTAATATAATGGAGCACTCATGATATGCATGGGGATTGTATTACAAATTTGTGGTTTATATGAATTATCTCATTTGATAGTCTCATCAACTCTTTGACATTGTACTTTTTTCATTCCCTGCTTGACAGATGAGGAGACTACAGATCCAGGAGAATAACATGCTGAAGGAAATTTGACGAATCAGTGGCAAAACTACAGTGGAAATCCAGGCCTGTGTGTGCTTCAAGTACAGTGATTCTATATTGCCAGAGAAATTTTCTTGTTCTCTGTCTGGGAACGAACACAATCTTAACATCTTACAGGAGTGCTGCTATCAGACTGTCCAGGATTAAATCCTGGCTCTACAGCCTGGTAGCCATGTGACCTTTGGCGAGCCCCTTCTTGTTCGGAGCCTCACTTTCCTTATCAATAAAATGGGGACGATAATAATAGTACCCATCTCATGTTATAAAACGGCATGTAAAAATACTGCTAACATTCTCAGGGAGGTGCCCTACACATAGTGCTTAACAATTTTCAATTTGTGTAGTTATTATTATAATTTTCTATAAGAGCTGTTAAGTGAACAGGTTTTATAGTGTACATATAGCTTTATTGCATTGTTTATCAAAGCATGTGCTTCAATATGTTGAAGAGAGCGGGACTTGGTAATGTGAAAAACAACCATTTCTCCATTATCTCCATCACAAAATAGACTCATTAATGCCTGCCTACCCATTTGAATTTTATACACTACCCCAGATTTTAGGAACGGAGTGGTCAGACATTCTTTGGTATAGGTATTATGGAGACTTTTTTTTTATTTGGCTACACAGAACATGGGATTATCAATTCATAAAGATGTGAACCGGAGTCAGAGATGATACAATGTTCAGAAAGAAAATAGATTGACCTGAGCCTGTAGTTAGTCACCATCTTTACGTATATCCCAAATTATAAACCTTTTGCCCTGATGCCCCTCCTGGCATAGAGAAACTAGTTAAAGTGTTATCTAATGTCAGACAATAGAATTGAAAGTCAGTGACTTAAAAATTTCTATCAGAAGGTTTTGTTTGCTTGATTTGGGGGTGGTTATAGGATTCTTTCAGCAGGACGAATGGCTGAGAACAGACAGAGGGGGAGATATTCAGGTGACAGCCACTGTACGGCTAACAGTGTGTGAGAAAGGTGGTGACATCAAAAAGGCAATTTGATTTGCCTTGCTTTGCCACTGTTTGAAGTATGAGTATGGAAGTTTCGAGATCTGTTGGTAGATACTACAGAGGGAGGCTTTGGTCTCAGTAGAGGGCTCTCAAAGCCACCTCCTCATGGACCAAATTCCAGGCTGACTTACCATCCAATTGCCTACAACAGATTCTGCATCACTGCCTTCTCCAAGAATTTGATTAGCCTGTCGCAGTTTTAAGAATTATATTAGGATAACGTATGAACTTGTTGAATCACTATGTTGTACCCCTGAAGCTGATGTAACACTGTGTGTCAACTACAGCCAAATTAGACAAAAAAGAACTGTCTTAATAACTGGAGAGGCACAGCTTAATTACAACAGTATTTTTTGCCTCCCACCTATCTTTTCTGCCTCCTTTCACATATGATCTTATTGTTCTTTGGGTTTCAGCGACAATGGCTTTCTCTGACGTTCTTGATCAAAACCCAAGTCTTTTGCCCATGCTGGCTTTCTGCCTGGAAAGCTCTTCACCTAGCTAGCTTGAGTCATACCTCCCATCTCCAAATTCCTGTCACTTCTTCACAGAAGCCTCAGCTTTCTGGTCTTCTTTAAATTCTTTGTTATGACCCCTTCTCTGAGGACTGAATTCTGTCTGAACATGTAATTTAAAAAAAAATTTTATTTATTTCTGAGAGAGAGAGACACAGCATGAGCAGGGGAGGGTCAGGGAGAGAGGGAGATACAGAATCTGAAGCAGGCACCAGGCTCTGAGCTGGCTGTCAGCACAGAGCCTGATGTGGTGCTTGAACCCATGAAGTGCGAGATCATGACCTGAGCCAAAGTTGGACGCTTAACTGACTGAGCCACCCAGGCGCCCCTGAGCACGTAATTTCTACTCGAACATTTTTACACGTGATTAGATTCAGGTGTGTTCCCTTGCTAGACTGTAGGCTGCATGAGGGCTTTGTTCACCATCATGTGACCAAGTGTTGGCATAATTCCTAGGATGCAGCCAATGCTTTGTAAATAATCATTGAATGAATAGTTGAGTTTATCTGGGAAGATCACAGTCAAAAAAAGAATCTAGTACAATATGGTAAGCTATGGTAAATGTTGTATAGGATGCTTCAGGGATGCGGATGAGGGTATCTATTAGTTATGAGTGTGGTGGTTAGAAGGAGGGCCTCTGGAGCTCGTAGTTCCAGTTGGGTAACAAATTCAGAGTTGGACAATACAGGGTATGGGTGTTGAGGGAACATTAATGAGGGTCAATATAAGAGTCTATGGCAATAATGAAATTAGAGAATGGTGAGAAATGGAAGTATCTGAAATCCATGGGATGTGAATGATAACGGTGTATGTATTTGAGGGAATGCTTAGGTAAGGACCTAGCACACTTGAATGATGGTGTCATTCTCTGAGGAAGGGAATACAAGAAGTGAGCAGGTACCCTGAAACTTTGCTATCCATTCTTCTCATACAGTCTCCTACCTGTCATTTCTAGCAGTTCCTCATTTGGGGCCCCAGATCTCCAGCTGCCATGTCTTAGAAGAAATGATTAACTTCTCTATGGCATCAGGTTCTTCCTCAATAAATTGGGGATAATAATAGTAACTTTCTTATAAGGCTGCTGTTTTAAGAATTACATAAATTAATACAGGCATATTTCAGAAATATTGCAGGTCCAGTTCCAACGACCACAATAAAGCAAATATTGCAATAAGGCAAGTCAACTAACTTTTCTGGTTTCCCAGAGCATGTAAAAGTGATGTTACTCTATTAAGTGTGCAATAGCATTACATCTAAAGAACAAGGTACATGCCTTAATTAAAAAATACTTTATTGCTAAAAAATGCTAACCATCAGTGGAGTTTTCAGTGAGTTGTAATCTTCTTGCTGGTAGATGGTCTTGGCGCCATGCTGATGCCTACTGACCGATCAGGATGGTGTTTGCTGAAAGTTGGGTTGGTTGTAGCAACTTCTCAAAATAAGATGACAAGAAATTTGCTGCACTGATTTTCAGTGTAACATGCAATGCTGTTTGATGGAATTTCACCCATAGTAGAACTTCCTCCAAAATTAGAGTCAATTCTCTCAAACCCTGCCTCTAAATGTATATAACATTCTAAGTCCTTTGTGTCATTTCAACCATCATCAAGGCATCTTCCCCAGGACTAGATGCCATCTCAAGGGGCACATTTTTTTTTTTTTTTTTTTTTTGCTCATTCCTAAGTAGCAACTCTTTATCTGCTCAAGTGTTCTCAAGACATTGTAGCAATTCATCTCATGTTCATGCTCCATTTTAAATTCTAACTTTCTTGGTATTTCTGCCATATCTGCAGTTACTTCCTTCACTGAAGACTTGAACCTCTCAAAGTCATCCATTATAGTTGGAATCAACTTCTTCCAAACTTCTGGTCATATTGGTATTTTGACCTCTTCAATGAATCACAAATGTTCTTTTTTTGTTTGTTTATTTATTTATTTTTAGGGAGAGAGAGAAAAGGGGAGGCGCAGGGAGAGAGAGAGAGAGAGAGAGAGAATCCTAAGCAGGCTACCCACTGTCAGTGCGGACCCCAGTCCTGGGCCTGAACTCACAAACTGTGAGATCATTATCTGAGTCAAAATCAAGAGCTGGATGCTTAGGGGTGCCTGAGTGACTCAGTCAGTTAAGCATCTGACTCTTGACTTTGTCTCAGATCATGGTCTCACAGTTGTGGTAGTGAGCCCCATAATGGGCTCTGTATTGAGTGTGGAGCCTTCTTCAGATTCTCTCTCTGTCCCTCATTCACTCACACTTTCTCTCTCAAAATGAATAAATAAACATTAAAGAAAAACAAAAATGGGTCGAGGTCTTAATCAACTAAGCCACTCAGGCTGCCCTGAATCACAAATGTTCTAAGGGCATTTAAAATAGTAAATTGTTTCCAGAAGGTTTTCAATTTATTTTGCCCAGATCCATCAGAAGAATCACTATCCATGACAGTTATAGCCTTACAAAATATATTTCTTAAATAATAAGATTGGAAAGTCAAAATTACTCCCTTACCTATGGGCTGTAGAATGGATACTGTGTTAGCAGGTACAAAAACAACATTAATCTCATTTTACACTACCATCAGAGCTTGGATGATCAGGTGAGCAGTATTTTGAAAAAAAAAAATCTATTATGAACAGATCTCAACAGTGAGCTTCAAAATAGTCAATAAACCATGGGGTAAACAGATGTGCTAACATCCAAGCTTTACTCTTTTATTTCTAGAGCAAAAGGAGAGTAGATTTAGCATAATTCTTTTTTTTCTAAGTTTCTTATTTTAATTCTAGTACAGTTAACATCCACTGTTATATTAGTTTCAGGTGTATAATACAGTGATTCAACAATTCTATATATTACTCAATGTTCATCATAATAAGTATACTCTTAATCCTTTTCATCTAATTCACCCATCCGTCACCCACCTTCCCTCTGGGGGCCATCATTTTGTTCCCTATAGTTAAGAGTTTGTGAGTCTGTTTCCTGATTTATCTCTCTCTCTCTCCCCTTTGTTTTGTTTCTTAAATTCCACATATTAGTAAAATCAAATGGTATTTGAATTTTTCTGACTTATTTCACTTAGCATAGCATTAAATTCTCTAGTTCCATTCATGTCATTGCTAATGGCAAGATTTTATTCTTTTTCATGGCCGAATAATATTCCATTCATATATCTTTCTATATATAGATTTTCTTTATCCATTAATTTATCTATAGAGAGACACGTAGGTGGCTTCCATAATTTGGCAATTGTAAATAATGCTGCAATAAACATAGGGGTGCATATATCCTTTCAAATCAGTGCTTTTGTTTTCTTGGTATAAATACCCAGTTGTGGAATTACTGGATAGTAGCGAGACTTAGCATAATTCTTAAGGGCCCTAGGATTTTTGAAATGGTAAACACTGACTTCAACTTAAACTCCCCAGCTGCATAAGCTCCTAACGAGACTGTCAGCCTGTCCTTTGAAGGATGGAAATCAGGTATTGCCTTCTGTTCTCAAGCTATGGGAGTCCTAGACAGTATCTTCGATTAATAGAAGGCTGTTTCCTCTACATTTAATATGTCATTTAGTGTGGCCACCTTCATTAGTTATCTTAGCTAGAACTTCTGGATAACTTTCTGTAGCTTCTACATCACCATTTCTTGCTTCATCTTGGCACTTTTATGTTAAGGAGGTGGC